AATTGGAAAAACGTTACACAAATATATTTTTTTAAGAATTAAATGAAAAGTGTGAAAGAGAGAAATATATGAAGTCAGAGTTGGGAGCCACCGGAAATTCGTACAAATCACCTAATTTACGGACCGACCAAACCGCCACACTGTTTTCATCAGTCAACAAACAAACAAACAATTTAGCTCCTTTTTTCTACTTCCTCACTCTTTACATTTTTTCCATTGATTTGAAATTCTTATTTTGAATTATTATCTTATAACAGTATTTTGAAGCTGACCAACCTAAAAATTTGAGAAAATATAACACGCTCAAAATTAGAACGGTCCATCAACTGCATAGACTATATTCAATTCGGTTTATTTGCATTACCATTCAATGTTTTGTATCTTTTTAAAATATTAAAAAATGAAATAAACAGCATCCAATCATCATGATTCGAATTCTGTAAATTGCAGGAATTTGTCTTGTTTTTTCTTTAAATTATCATCACGGATTTTAAAATGGGATAAAGAAAGATAGTAGTAAAAAAGAAACCACATCTATAAGTTATAACCAATTATTAAGCCAAAAAAGTTATAACCATTTGATTAAATCCATCGTGTCTGGAGGGTACCTCCGAATGTGTGATCATAGAACCACGAACCAAAATTTTTTTTGGTCAAAAATTCTACAATATCTATATAATAAACTTTTTCTCTGTATTTATCAATAATATCAATTAAAAAGTTTGAGAGAAAGATAAAAATAATTACGCACCAATGAGCAGAGTCCGTTGGCTGTCATGTGGGATGCTATAAACAAAACCAAAGGAGGATCGAAGAGTCAGATTTTTATATATCAAAAGAAGAAAATAACATATAAGAGGATTTTAATTAAAACAACAGATTCTACTGTAACGAGAAGATGATACATGCACTGCCACGGTTCCTCTCATGCAAAAGATGCTTTTTATTTAAAATCARTATCAAAAGAACAAAAATAAAGCATTCCTTTTAAGCTACGTTAATTTTACTACTTGGGTCCCCTTTTACTCAAACCAAAGATAAATGTATGTGCAAAAGGAATCTTGTAATTTGGTGCGTGGAGGCGCCTACATTTCGAAACGTTCCATCCGTATAAACAACTCTTGTCCAATTAAGTGGGTGAATAGTTCGGCTCTGTAAATTAATTGCTGTACAATTTTGTCTGTAAACATTTTTGTTTTAGCTTTAAGATTGTTGTACCTGTAACTTTTTAAAGTTAAAATATGATTGGTAAG